ATTAAAGTGAGACTCCAGGCATATATATATATACAGAGAGAGAGATGTATAATAATAACAAAGACACAATACTGTAAAGAAAATGTAAAAAAAAAAAAAAAAAACCCATAAAAAATGACTGTTCATTAATGAAAAAAATATTGCCCATTGTTTTTCTGTAGATAGATTGAGAGATATATATATATAGAGAGAGAGAGATTTATAATAACCTATAAAGACACAATACTGTAAAGAAAATGTAAAACAAAAAAAATAAAAACCATAAAAAATTACTGTTCATTAATGAAAAAAATATTGGCCATTGTTTTTCTGTAATTTTTCTGGCCTGGAAACCAAGGAAGATGAAATGACACTTCTGATACCACCCATCCATCATGATCTACCTGACACAGCGTGTCATTTCACTGGTATATCGCTTACAGCCAAGTGGCCGCTGGCTTTGTACTTTCCTGGAGGAATGTTACAAGACAGTCAGATTGGTTTCCCCAGAGCCAGCATTATTCAAACTCCAGAGCATTTGGTTGATGGGCTTGCCATCAGTGTGAGGTCATAAAGTAGTGAGTGTCTGGGAGGAAGGCTAGGTTGGTTCATTGCCTTGTGCATGCTGGCTCTTGGCTTGTTGCGCATTGTAGAGTCAGATGCATCATTTACAGCATTGACATGTACTAGAGGGCCATTTTAAATGAATAGGAGGAGGCCCAAAATGCATTTTTACAACACATGTCAACACACATTAACATATCCATGGATAATATTGAATTTAGCCTTTGTGGAGTCCCTTATTCATATAGAGAAGGTTATTTCTATGACTGTAAATTGAACCAACTCTGACTATCCCCATATCCTCCATATGTTTATACACGCACATTGGGTTGAATTACTAAAGACAAATAGGCTGTTCACTTTGTATGGGAAGTTTCACTTGGCTTTGTGAATGTGGTGAAAATTTTACTTTGCAAATAATACCCCATCATGTGCAAGGAAAATAGAAAACAGTATTTTTTGCTTGCACATGATTGGATGATGGAAGTCAGCAGAGCTTCACCTCATTCACTAAGCAAAGGGAAAATTCCGTAGCAAAGTGAATATCATATTTGCCTTTAGTAAGTCACCATTGTTTGCAAATTGCTGCATTAAACAGACACCTGATATACTGGCTAGGCTATATGTTTTAAGACCTGGTTCACACCAAAGCGTTTTTCAGTGCGTTTTGCAGAAATGTACTATAATCCATTTAACATGGTTTCTTATGGGACACGTTCACATCTATGTGTTTTTTAGCTGCTGCATTTTTGGAAAGCATCAGGGACTTTTTTAACCACTTGCCTATCGGGCACTTTTACCTCCTTCATGCCTAGGCCAATTTTCAGCTGTCAGCGCTGCCGCACGTTGAATGGCAATTGCGCAGTCATGCAACACTGTACCCAAACAAAATTTTTATAATTTTTTTGAGACAGATCGAGCTTTCTGTTGGTGTTTTTAATCACCACTGAGGTTATTATTTTTTGCTAAACAAACTAAAAAAAGACTGAAAATTTTGAAAAAAAAAAAAAGTTTTTTTTTAGTGTCTGTTATAAAATTTTGTAAATAATAAATTTTTCTCCTTCACTGATGTGCACTAATAAGGCTGCAGTGGTGGGCACTGATATGCAGCACTGATGAGGAGGCACTGATAGCTGGCACTGATAGGCGACACTGGCACTAATAGGCGGCACTGAAAGGCAGCTCCGATGGGCACTATGTGGCATTGATGTGCACTGGTAGGCACTGATATTTGGCATTGATGTGCACTGGTATGTGGCATTGATGGGCACTTACAGGTGGCATTGATGAGCACTTACAGGTGGCACTGATGGGGCTACACTGATCATCAGGGCACTGATGATCAGTATAGATGTCCCTCTCCTCACAAGCTGCCAGCGGGAGGAGAGGACTGCCGATAACTGGCATTTCCTATTCACATGTGATCAGCTGTGATTGGACACAGCTGATCACATGAAAGAGCCGATGTCATCAGCTCTTTACAGTGATCGGTGATCCGCTGTGTCCTAGGGACACAGCGCATTACCGATTGCCGCACTCCTGAGGACGCTCATACGCAGTTAGAGTGGGAAGACGTCATATGACGTCCTCCTAGAATGAGAGAACCAAAGCTCGCCCGTCATTACCTTATATGGCGGGCGGGAGGTGGTTAAACGCAAAATGTTTTGGTGTTTTCGTTCAATAGACTTCAATGGAGATGTTTCAGAAAACACGTGAATTTTGACACTTTTTTTATGCGTTTTGCAGTTTTAATCTACCCAGCAACAAGTTGGCCAAAAAAAGCTTTAAGAGCGCATTACAAAATGTGTGTGCAAAACCGCATGGACAAAATGCATCGGTGTGAGCCAGGCCTAAAACAGCTGCTGGCCAAAAGATTTGCTGAGTAATGCTGAATTTGTCGAAATAACTTCTCTGAAGCTATAGATCCAGTTCAGTAGAAAGACTTACAATAAATTTTAATTTGTCTCCAATGTTCTGTGTTATTAATGAACACAATATGAATCCAGAATATCTAGTAAATTCACATAGGTATCAGGTTTAACAAAACTATTTTTTAATGTAATAATTTAATTTAGTAATTACTTGGCACTTTTTATCTGAAGTCTTGTGACCAATAGATATTTTGTGGAGGGAAAATGTTGCCATATCCAAGAGTTTGCATTAGTACTTATACTTATTTATAAAGAGAGTGAAAGGACCTGAAACCAAGGATCAGTTTTGCAGCTAAGGATCCATTTTGTACATGGACACAGTAATCCCTATAGTAATCAAAATGTTTTGAGGTCTTCTTGGTGTATGGTCAACCTGTTTGCAAAAAGTGTTCTTGTTCTTATGGCAAGGCTATGGGAAATGCAATTATCACAGCTATCAGATATGTTCATTATAGACCGCTGACTAAAATAGATGGAAAACAGGTGGCAATCATTGCCCTTATTTAAGGAAGGAAGGCAGCAAATGTTGTACATGCTGGTTACAGTGCATTTCTCTCTGAAATTCTGAGGAAAATGGGTCGTTCCAGACATTGTTCAAAAGAACAGCGTACCTTGATTAAAAAGTTGATGTGTATGTGTGTATGTATATGTGTGTATGTATATATATGTGTATATATATATATATATATAAAGTTGTTGTTGGTAAACATTCCTCAGAGATTTTGGTCCATACTGACATGATGGCATCAGGTAATTACTGCAGATTTGTTGGCTGCACATCTATGATGTGATTCTCCCGTTCTACCACATCCCAAAGGTGCTCTATTGGATTGAGATCTGGTAACTGTGGAGGTCATTGAAGTACAGTGAGCTCATTGTCATGTTCAAGAAACCAGTTTGAGATGATTTATGCTTTTTGACATGGTGCTTTATCTTGCTGGAAGTAGCCATCAGAAGATGGGTACAATGTAGTCATAAAGGGATGGACATGGTCAGCAACAATACTCAGTACCGATTGAGCATTGTTTAAATACCACTGCCTACCTAAGGGGCCTAAAGTGTGCAAAGAAAATATCCCCCACACCATTACACCACCACCAGCCTGAACCATTGATACAAAGTAGGATGGATCCATGCTTTCATGTTGTTTATGCCAAATTCTGACCCTACCATCTAAATCTCGCAGCTGAAATTGAGACTCATCAGACCACACAACAATTTTCCAATCTTCTATTGTCCAATTTTGGTGAGCTTGTGTGAATGGTAGTCTGTTTCCTGTTCTTAGCTGACTGGAGTGTCATCCGGTCTTCTGCTGCTGTAGCCCATCTGCTTCAAGGTTCAACATGTTGTGCATTCAGAGATGGTATTCTGCATACTTTTGATGTAATGAGTGGTTGTTTGAGTTAGTGTTGCCTTTCTATAATCTTGAACCAGTCTGCCAATTCTCTTCTGATATCAACCAGACATTTTTGTCCACACAACTGCCTCTCACCGGATATTTTCTCTTTTTTGGACCATTCTTTGTAAACCCTAGAGATTGTTGTATGTGAAAATCCCAGTTGATGAGCAGTTTTTTAAATATTTAAACAAGTTCATCTGGCACCAATAACCATGCCACATTCAAAGTCACTTAAATCCCCTTTCTTCCCCATTCTGTTGCTCGGTTTGAACTTCAGCAAGTCGCTTTTACCACATCTAGATGCCTAAATGCATTGATTTGCTGCCATGTGATTGGCTGATTAGCAATTCATGTTACCAAGCAATTGAACAGGTGTACAAATAAAGTGGATGGTGAATGAATGAATGTACTGTATGTATGTATGTATGTGTATACAAGTGAAACTCAAAAAATTAGAATATCGTGCAAAAGTTAATTTATTTCAGTAATGCAACTTAAAAGGTGAAACTAATATATGAGATAGACTCATTACATGCATTATCTTACTTTGCATGTAATGAGTGGTGTAATTTTTCGGGTTTCACCTGTATATGTATTTCCCATGTAACCATTGTAAGCAGGTCTTGCCATTTTTATGGTTTAGCCCAGTATAAGGGTATATAGTAGCTGTGGTGCTATTTTATTCTTTCAAAGCCATGTTTACCACCACATTGCCCTGCAAAAAATGGATAGAGCATATTTGTGACCATACTACATAAGGAGGGTTGGATTATTTTGTTTTTTGCTTAGTTAATTTTTTTTCTCAGAATTTACCACAGCCTATTTTCTTCCCAAAAAATCAATACCTTTTACAATTTCAGAACTTGAGTATGGATTTTGCATTTTAGTGACTAGATGAATTTCATTTGATTCAATACTTTATAAAATACTGAAAGAAATTGGGTTATTTATCAAAAGCTGGGCTTTATGTAAAACCTGTTTCGTTGTAGTTGCAGAAATTAAACAATGAAATAATGATACTATATACACTATATTTCCAAAAGTATTAGGACACCCCTCTAAATCATTGCATTCTGGCGTTCCAATCATCTCCATGGCCACAGGTGTATAAAATCAAGCACCTAGGCATGCACACTGCTTCTACAAACATTTGTGAAGAATGGTTCACCCTCAGGAGCTCAGTGAATTCTAGTATGGCACTGTCATAGGTTGCCACCTGTGCAATAAGTCCATCCATGAAATTTCCTTGCTATTAAATATTCCACGGTCCACTGTTAGTGGTATTATAACAACGTGGAAGCAACTGGGAACAACAGCAACTCAGGCACCAAGTGGTAGGCCATGTAAAATGACAGAGCGGGGCCAGTGCATGCTGAAGTGCAATAGCTAAATCTCCAGACTTCGTGGTCTTCAGATTAGCACAACAGTGCATAGAGAACTTCATGAAATGGGTTTCCATGGCCGAGCAGCTGCATCCAAGCCTTACATCACCAAGCACAATGCAAAGCTTTGGATGCAGTTGCGTAAAGCATGCCGCCACTGGACTCTAGATCAGTGGAGACGTGTTCTCTGGAGTGATGAATCCTGCTTCTCTGTCTGGCAATCCGATGGATGTGTCTAGGTTTGGCAGTTGCCAGGGGATCAGTACTTGCCTGACTGCATTGTGCCAGGTGTAAATTTTGCTGGAGGGGGGAATTATGGTGTGGGGTTGTTTTTCAGGGGTTGGAAGTGAAGGTAACTCCAACTTTGTAGGAACAGTTTGGGGATGGTCCCTTCCTGTTCCAACATGACTGCGCACCAGTGCACAAAGCAAGGTTCATAAATACATGGATGAGTGAGTTTGGGGTGGAGGAACTTGACTGGCCTGCACAGAGTCCTGACCTGAACCCGATCCTGAATACTATTGGGATGAATTGGAGCAGAGACTGTGAACCAGGCCTTCTGGTCCGACATCACTGCCTGACCTTACAAATGCACTTCTGGAAGAATGGTCAAACATTCCCATAGACATACTCCTAAACCTTTTGGGCAGCGTTGCCAGAAGAGTTGAAGCTGCTATAGCTGCAAAGGGTAGGCCAACTCAATATTAAACCCTATGGACTAAGATTTGGATGCCATTCAAGTTCATATGTTTGCAAAGGTAGGCGTCCCAATACTTTTGGCAATAAAGTGTATGTTTAAGTGATCCTATGAGCTGTTTACTGGTATTGGTATACTTAAAATTCCACAATACATTTCAAAAGTGTAATGGTACTTATGTTACATTGTATTGTGTCCAGTGTTTCCAGTATTTCAATGAATGTTAAAAATTAGCATGCTTGTGTCTTTTAACCCTGACTAGGAAGTGGATACCATCTTCAGAAATTCATGAAATCTCTTTCATGGCCTTCACATCAACACTGAGCCAAAGAAAAACCTGAACATCCAAATCCACATTTTCAGTTTAGCACTCACTTGTGTGTCTGTGTGGTATGGGGCAGTTGAAATTTTCATTTCTTGGGTTGATAGTGTTTGTTTCTTTTGGTGGGTTCTGTAAGGATTTTTCCCTACAAACAGAAATATATCCCTAAATTCAGAACGTTACCACCATAATACTGTTAAAGCGAGGTACAATAAAAGTTAGAGTTGGGCTTTGGAAAAACAAGAGGACATGACTGGTGGTTGAGAAGAGAAGAAAAGACTAAACTTGTTCATTCTTTCATTTTATCTTTATTGGGAAACTAATATGTCTGGGTGTAATGGGTTAATAGACTACAGGAGATCTGTTCTAACCAGAGCTGGCATCCTTCGACTAATTCAAAATCTTAAGAGACATTTATCATAGCAGTTTTAAACTTTTAACATTTTGTGACATTATGGGGTGTGGACAGTGCAAAATCAGGCTAACGTCTGCATAGAAACCAATTGGCTTCCAGGTTCCATTGCCAAAGCTTAATTGAACATGCTGAGGTTTGAAGCTGATTGGTTTCTATGCAAAAGTGAGGGTTTTTTTTTTACTAAAGCTGAAGAGTGAAAAATCAAGCTAAGAGTCAAAACCTAAATGATGGGCAGATTGGTATTGTAGAGAGAAATCAATTTGTATTTTGAGGCACCAGGGACATTGAGCTTCATGATAAGAATGACCTTAAAGTGATTATAAAGCATCAGTGTTTTTTAATAAAATAATAAATGTCATACTTACCTGCTCTGCGTAATGGTTTTGCATCTTCCTCCTCTTCTCGGGTCCCCTTCCAGCACTCCTGGCTTCTCTTCATCCAGTGCCCCCATAGGAAATCACTTCCCATAGGAGCACTCGTGCAGGCTTGTTCCCGAGATCTGCTGCCTGCATCCATAGACACAGACATGGGTGCATGGCTCTGTTCCCTGCTCCCATCACAGAATTTGATTGACAGCAGTGGAAGCCAATGGCTCCTGGTGCATTGGATCTACTCTGTAAGGAGGGACAGAGCAGAGAAAGGCACTGCTCTCATGCACAACACTGGTTCGCGATGAGGCTCTGGTAAGTATAAGGTGGGGGGATCCCAGGCACTGAAGAGTTTTAACCTTGATGCATTAGGGTAAAATAAAAACTTAAAGTAGAACTATAAACTTTTCACTTTGACTAGAGCAAGGGAGGGTTATAACGCCTGTCAGATTTTTTTTCCTCCATCTGTGCCACATTGCAGAGATTTCCCTTTGCTTTCTGTCCCATAGCTAAACAGGAAGTGAGAGGAAATCCCTGCAAATTAGGGGAATTCCTTCGGGACCCCCCAGGTCACCAGAACTAGTGTCTCCATTGGAAGATTTCCCCTCTATTACTTCTCTCGGGACAACCCAAAATTTGGGATTTTATTTTACTTTCACTTTCATTGATAACGGTAAACAGGACAAATGGAGAGTGAATCTCTCCCTAACGGGCACAGACAGCAATACAAAACTGACAGTTCTTCTAATCCCTCTTCCCGTTATCCAAAACTGAAAAAAAAATGATCTTAGTTATACTTTAAGGCTTTAGAACTACTTTAACATTTTTTTAAAAACGAATGCTACTGCTCGATTGGCACATTGTTATGGTAATATGTACAGTGGGGATCGAAAGTTTGGGCACCCCAGCTAAAAATTTGTATTAATGTGCATAAAGAAGCCAAGGAAAGATGGAAAAATCTCCAAAAGGCATCAAATTACAGATTAGACATTCTTATAATATGTCAACAAAAGTTAGATTTTATTTCCATCATTTACACTTTCAAAATAACAGAAAACAAAAAAATGACGTCTGCAAAAGTTTGGGCACCCTGCAGAATTTATAGCATGCACTGCCCCCTTTGCAAAGCTGAGACCTGCCAGTGTCATGGATTGTTCTCAATCATCGTCTGGGAAGACCAGGTGATGTCAATCTCAAAGGTTTTAAATGCCCAGACTCATCTGACCTTGCCCCAACAATCAGCACCATGGGTTCTTCTAAGCAGTTGTCTAGAAAACTGAAACTGAAAATAGTTGATGCTCACAAAGCTGGAGAAGGCTATAAGAAGATAGCAAGATCTGGAAGACCAAGAAAAATATCAGACAGAACAGCTCGCAGGATTGTGAGAAAAACAATTCAAAACCCACGTTTGACTGCACGATCCTTCCAGAAAGATCTGGCAGACACTGGAGTTGTGGTACACTATTCCACTATAAAGAGATACTTGTACAAATATGGTCTTCATGGAAGAGTCATCAGAAGAAAACCTCTTCTACGTCCTCACCACAAAAATCATCATTTGAACTTTGCAAATGAACATATAGACAAGCCTGATGCATTTTGGAAACAAGTTCTGTGGACCGATGAGGTTAAAATGAGGTTAAAATTGAACTTTTTGGCCGGAATGAGCAAAGGTACGTTTGGAGAAGAAGGGGCACAGAATTTAATGAAAAGAACCTCTGTCCAACTGCTAAGCATGGGGTTGGATCAATCATGCTTTGGGGTTGTGTTGCAGCCAGTGGCACAGGGAACATCTCACGAGTAGAAGGAAAAATGGATTCAATAAAATTTCAGCAAATTTTGGATGGTAACTTGATGCCATCTGTGAAAAAGCTGAAGTTAAAGAGAGGATGGCTTCTACAAAAGGATAATGATCCTAAACACACCTCGAAATCCACGGGGGATTACATCAAGAGGCGAAAACTGAAGGTTTTGCCATGGCCTTCACAATCTCCTGACCTCAACATAATTGAAAATCTATGGATAGACCTTAAAAGAGCAGTGCGTGACAGACAGCCCAGAAATCTCAAAGAACTGGAAGACTTTTGTAAGGAAGAATGGGCAAAGATACCTCAAACAAGAATTGAAAGACTCTTGGCTGGCTACAAAAAGCGTTTACGAGCTGTGATACTTGCCAAAGGGGGCAGTACAAGATATTAACTCTGCAGGGTGCCCAAAAGTTTGCAGACGCCATTTTTTTGCTTTCTGTTATTTTGAAAGTGTAAATGATGGAAATAAAATCTAATTTTTGTTGACATATTATAAGAATGTCTAATCTGTAATTTGATGCTTTTTGGAGATTTTTCCATCTTTCCTTGGCTTCTTTATGCACATTAATACAAATTTTTAGCTGGGGTACCCAAACTTTCGATCCCCACTGTATAATTCTTAGGCTCTGAAGGTTTTGGGTGGCATTTATCTCTTTAACGTTTAAACGTTTAACGTTTGCACGCTCCTGTATATTTTTTTTTTTTTTTTTCTTCAAGCTCTTCACCAAGTAGGGTGGATTCAAGTTTCTGCTCCTTTTGTACAGTTTTCTTTAAAGTCATATTAAAGGTTCCTTTTTTTTTTTCTTTTGGTAAAACAAGAAATATGTTCTACTTACCAACTCTGTGGAATGGTTTTCTATCTTTTAGTATAAAAATATTATGTACTACATGTTAAGTAAGTTGTGTAAATCAAATTGCACAATTCCAAATCCTTTTTATTTCCAGGTTTTAGAATCTGTTTTTACTGTACTAATGATATACAGCAGTGGTCTTCAAAATTCGGCCCTTTGCTTGCCTTTATCCGGCCCTTGGGGCACTATTCCTCCCATTGACACCAAATGGGAATAATTCCTGCCCCTGACACCAACAGTTTGTCACTATTCCTCCCACTGTCACCAATAATGGGGTACTATTCCTCTCACGGACACCAATGGTGGGGCATTGTTACCAATGCCAGGACATTTTCTATTACTACTGGCCACAGTCTGGCCCTTCTAAAGTCTGAAGGACAGTAAACTGGTCCTTTGTTTAGAAAATTTGGAGACCCCTGATATACAGTATGTATAATATGTGCCCTGCTTTTTTTTTTTTTTTTTTTTTTTTTTTTTTTTTTTACAGTCCAGGTAGTACATTTTAAAAAGATCACTTTTTTTTTTTTCTTCATGTTAAAAAATGTGGTTACTAGGTATTGTCATTTAAAAAAGAAATATCGAAAACTATAAAGGCATAGCTATAGGCAAACCAGGTAACGACATGAAATCACTTAAACATCCACAGGAACCTTAATTTTCCACTTGGCCCACGATTTTCAGGATTAACACCGGTGTTTTTCATTAAAGTGTCTGACCCTATTTTACTTTAGTTGACCTTTTAGAGATTCAAAGTCCAACAACTTTACATCATTACGCTCTCAGATTAATGACAAACAATTAAAGGTCAGCTGTTTAACCTAAAGGAAGCAGGGGATCATGGACTTGCATATGTCTGCATATATATCTTTTTGTACGTGCTCCCTTGGTTTGCCTCTTAATATTCAAGAAGAATCTAATTTTACTCTTTGTATTCATGTTGTACATTATGTTCGGAAATCA